TGTTTCCTTGCCTGATGAAATGTATCAGAAAGAATATTACTATGACAAATGTCTGCAATTTTACTGCCTATGTTTTCGTCTAGGATGTTTGTGGTTTTGAATTTAACATTTAAGTGTTTAATCTATTTTTAGTTTATTCTTGTGTATGGTATAAGAAGGTGTTCTGGTTTGTTTTTTTGTTTTGTTTTTTTTTGCAGGTATTCCCAAACACCACTTATTGGGTAGACTATCTTTACCCTATTGTATGTTTTTGCCTCCTTTGTAAAAAATTGACTTAAAGGGGTGGGTTTATATCTGGGCTCTGATAGGCTTAGTTTTAAAGATGACCCATCATCTTAGAACTTAGGCCAATAAAATTGGCAACTTTTAGCCTGGTTTGGTCCTCAAAGCAAATAATCATGTTCATAATTAAACCAATTTAAGTTTCAGCTGCTGAATAGAGGTCTTTTTTTTTTCTTCCTTTTATCCAAACTGAGTCCACAAATATTTTAGCTTCCTAGTACTCTGATTTGAATTAAAAGGTCTTAGAAAATACCAATAACTTTTTGGAGGCCCTTTTTCCCCCTATTCAGTAAATTAGGGACACTCTTGGTTAGTATTTTTTTTTTCTGCATCTAGCACTGATCAACACTTGAAAATTTTAGCTAAGTGCTTTTCAATGTCTTTGTGTTCATGATAGTGACTATGAGGCAAAGGTTTGAACATAAAATAAAAGGAATATTAAAACTTTCAATTTAATTTTAATCGTAGATTGAAAGGTACGGATTCCCTTCTGATCTTATGCTTTCGCCTCGAGAAACCATCCAGCTTTATGACACGATGTTTGAATTCTGGGAAAGTTGGCCCAGGGCCCAGGTAATTAATAATTATGCAATTAATTTGAATTCTGTTATCGTGGATGGTAACATTGCTTTCAGAAAGACAAACTCTTACCCTTGCCTCTGATCTCTTAAAATTATCAATGGACTCTTTCTAAAACACAATTGCCCTTTCTCAGACATTTTTCATTCTAACATTCTATGATTTACTTTAATGAGATGGGATGTCATCGAATTCCTGAAAATATTTGTTCTTTCAGTTTCTGAGATATTGTAGCCTTACATCTTACATCTCGGATTTATGTATTTCCATGTTCTTTCATTGTACTCTCCTTCCTTCACTATGCTCTAGTAGCTGTCTGTTTTTATCTATTTGGCTTTGCTCTGCATTCTTTCCTTTGGAGAGCTCTTTTGTTTTACTAGGATTCTGTACTAGAAACTATGGGGGGAAAAGAAGTTCAACGGCCTGTACTTTCAAGTAGCTTATAATGCTGTTTATGAAATGCATAATTGAGAAACATCTTTGAGGGTTTTTTTGTTTTGTTTTTTCTTTATGATTTTATTTAATTTTGTGGTATTTCTTTTCAAGGAGTTGTGTCCAGAGAATTTCATTCATTTTAAGAATAAAATAGTCATTAAGAAGATGGATGCTAGGAAATATGAAGAGAGCTTAAAGGCAGAATTAACAAATTGGATTAAAAATGGCAATGTAGAGGAGGTAATTTCCACACATATTTTTGGTGAAGTACCCTCTCCTCTTTGTTTTCTTGAGTTATTTTGTTCAGTCATTACTATTTTCTGGGTTTTTCATCTTTAATTTTCATTTTAGGATTATAAGCTGAACACAAAGTCTAGTGATTCTGTGGTAAAAATAAAAGGAAAGGCAGGAAATTGATCTTTGTCTCCTATAGCATGTGACAAAAGCTATTAGTTCTGATAGATGTTTTAACACTTAAGAACAGATGTGTCACTATCCACCAAGTCAGTGTTCTTGGGGTTGTGGCAACATAGCTATTGGAATCATAGTTAACAGAAGCAGAGCAGACTATTTTACTCTTTTATTGTCTTGGATATTTTTAATGCTTTGAAATTTTAAGTTGTATAAACTATTTGTGTATTGAAACCTTCACCTGGAGTCAGAGAAGTTATGCATATTTATTTTAAGTAATCACTGGTCTTTATATTTTTGAAGTTTGCCACATATTGAAGTTTCTGATTTTGGGGGAGTGATATATATCTATATATATATTAGACTTTTCTCATGTGACTTTTTTCTGTTGTATTTTAACTTAGATGATCTCTCCCCATTCAGAAACATAATATAATTTAATTACTTTTAAAAAATTCTCACCTGAGTTTATGTTAATTTTATAGATTTTAAAGAGAGAGGAAGGAAGAAAGAGAGAGAGAAGCATCAATGTGAGAGAAACATTGATTGGTTGCCTCCCGTATGAGCCTGGACCTGCAACGTAGGTATGTGCCCTGACCGGGAATCAAACCACAACCTTACTGTATAGGGGATGATACTTCAACCAACTGAACCAGGGCTAATCCTATCTAATAAAGAGGTAATATGCAAACTGACCATCACTCCAACACACAAGATGGCCACCCACATGAGGTCAAAGATGGCCACTCCATGTGGACACAAGATGGCCAGCAGGGGAGGGCAGTTGTGGGAGATCAGGCCATCAGGGCAGGACAGTTGGGGGTGACCCAGCTGTCAGGGGAGGGCTGTTGGGGGAGGGGGGCAGGCCTGCAGGGGAGGGCAATTAGGCGCAATAGGGCCGGCAGGGGAGCAGTTAGGTGTTGATCAGGCTGGCAGAGGAGTGGTTGGGGTTGATCAGGCTGGCAGGCAGAAGCGGTTAGGGGCAATCAGGGAGGCAGGCAAGCGAGCAGTTGGGAGCCAGCAGCCCTGGATTGTGGGATTGGGCATAAACAGGCAGTTGGACATCCCTCAATGGGTCCCAGATTGGAGAGGATGCAGGCTGAGCTGAGGGACACACACACACACACACACACACACACAAGAATGTCATGCACCGGGCCTCTAGTTTACTTATATTTTTTTCTGCATATGTTGTCATTACAAATCTTTAAAATGTATTTGGAAATAATTTTTCTACATTACATGGAGAAAAACAAGTTCACCCTACCTCCTGCCATAGTGAAATCAAAACTGATTTCTTTTGCTAAAAATATTGCATTTTATATTGTACATATGTTACCAATTTTCTTTTTGTTCTCTAGTTGTTGATTTGTAAACTTCTTTGATGGTTCTTTGCAAAGGTTTATGATATAATTAATATGTATTATTTTTATCATATATTACTTTAAAGATCATAGCAACATAGATTAAACAACAATGAAAATATTTTAGTCAAAAGTAAAAATGTCTTTCTTTCTTCTTCAGAACTTAAAACAAATAAATTCTTTTTTTATTACTGCAGGCCAAACAGGTCCTGAGGAATCTTAGTCCCAAACCAGTTTCTAGTTCAGAAAACATGATACAAATGTTTCCACTTCTCGTTGAAAAGCTTAGGAAAATGGAGAAGTTACCAGCACTAATTTTTTTGTAAGTCATTTATTTTAATTTTATTTTTAAATTAAATTTATTTGGGCATTAGTCATTTAAATTAAATTGCTTTTATTTTCAATTTGTATTATACTCATTACTTTAAATTGAGGAAAGTTTTTACTAACTTTACTATTGTAATATAGTATTCATTACTATTTTTGGTGTCCATTTGTTCTAAGAGTGAATTTAAAAATACATCTTTCTAGTCTAATTTTTTAAAATTGATTTCAGAGAGGAAGAGGAGAGAGAGAGAGAGAGAGAGAGAAAGAGAGAGAGAGAGAGAGAAGAGAGATATCAATGTTGGGAGAGAATCATCAATCTGCTGCTTCCTGCATGCCCCACACTGGTAGTGAGCCAGCACCCCAGGTGCCTTGACTGGGAATCAAAACGTGACCTCCTGGTTCATAGTTGGGTGCTCAACCACTGAGCCATGCTAGCTGGGCTCTAATCTAATTCTTAACAAAATATTTTCACTTGTGTTATTAAAAATTACCTTCTTTATTTAATTCCCTTCTCCATTTCTTGTTGTGTTTTTTTTTACTCTTGTATTTTTATCTAAGTCTTGTTAAATGCCTAGCTAGGTTCAGTAAATATGTAGATTTAGTAAATTCCTAGGGACTTTGAAAAACAAATTGAACGTTTATGTGTGCAAGCCTCCCACATAAAATTAAAGTATTCTTACAATAAGCTAGAATATTTATTGGTGGGATATTTTATTATTTTAATTTATAATCATGAGAACTATAACTTACAGGCATTGATACCTTGATAAATTTTATATTCCTATAGACATGAAACAGCTTAACATTGAATGTAATCGTCCGGTTTTGATCAAGTATAACTTATACCAAAGTATAATTCATTAAATGAATAATGCTATATCCTAGATTTGGAGATCTATTCATTTTGGGATCAAAATGGAATATTTTATTTACTTTTGACAGTTTCAAACTAAGACATGGAAGTTATATATAAATAAGGCCACAGAATCTTGCTCAGGTGGCAAAGTTTAATGATATTTGTTCACACATACAGAGACAAACAGTAATGAATCATCATTGGTGATGTTTATTTAAAATAATGTTGTTAATTGAATATATGGCTGTGTTTGGATAATGCAATAACATTGTTCCTTTACCTTTGTTGTTGAGACAAGAAAAAGAAAATTTTGAACCACCAAGAAATTATACAGCTCACCTTTATTTTCAAGCATGGTTACAGGTTTTAGTTAGAAACAAACATGATTTAGTACCTCTGGGATATTTCTGAAGGTCTAATTGCCAAAAATAACTGGATTCATTTTTTATATAGATATACAAAATTAAAATATTTGAAAGTACAGTATTTCACAAAAACATCAAATGTTTAATCCTGCTTGAGTTGCTGAGTTTTGGCATATCTTTATGGAAGTTTGGGTTCTCTATAAGGCATACTGTGCAAACCTTGGTCTTATACGGTTGTATTTAGTCCTAAAAAGCCCCAGCTCATCAACAAATTTGAGGCTTTGTCAAGGCTCAATTTGTACCTCTGGGAGATTTTCAAATAATAGCATCCTTGTCAACCTTTTCCAATCTGATCTCGGGGAGAAATGCATGGACCCTGTTAGTGTTAGTGACTGTATTAACCTGTGCTTAAGAGCACATTCTTCAAGTCGGGAGACTACTTCTCTGCTCCCTGGTAGCTCTGTCACTTCTAGGCAGCTTCTTAATGGTGTTTAGCCTTAGTTTCCTCATTTGCAAAATGAGGAAAGATGATAAAAATAATAGGGTCTGGGTAAGAATTAAATACAAGTAAATTATGAAATCACTTAGTACTACCTGTTATTGGCTAAGGCCCAGTCTCTAGACATTTGTTCTGTATAGGTTATCAGAGAAGTTTAAGAGGAAATGTTATTTTCAAGTGACCCATTTTATTTTATTTTTTTAAATATATTTTATTGATTTTTTACAGAGAGGAAGGGAGAGGGATAGACAGTTAGAAACATCGATGAGAGAGAAACACCGATCAGCTGCCTCCTGCACACCTCCTACTGGGGATATGCCCGCAACCAAAGAACATGCCCTTGACCGGAATCAAACCTGGGACCTTTCAGTCCGCAGGCTGATGCTCTATCCACGGAGCCAAACCTGTCAGGGCCAAGTGGTCCATTTTAATACATGAGGTACTATGATGAAAATTACATTTCTTAATACAGAATAGGTAACTTATATTCATGTCAAAAGAGAGCAACATAATGTAAAGATTAAGAACATTGGCTTGGAGGCAGGACTCTGCCATACAAGCTGTGAGATTTTGAGCAGGTCACTATATCTCTTTATGTCTCCATTTTCTCATCTGCAAAATAGGGATCGTCATAGTGCCTTCCTCATAGAGATGTATTATACTAAATGAGTTAATATACTTAAGACATTGAGAATAGTGTCTGGCAATAGTAAGTATGGTGTTTACTGTATTTATTATTTTGTCTACTACATGACATTTCTTGCCATGTAGCATGAACTGCTACTTTCTCTTTTAACTTTTTTTTTTTGTTAATCCTCGCCCAAGGGTATTTTTTCCATTGATTTTTAGAGACAGTGGAAGGGAGGGAGGGGAAGAGAGAAAAAGAGAGAAACATCGATGTGAGAGAAATACATGGATTGGTTGCCTCCCACGGGCACCCCAACTAAGGCCAGGAATGAACATGCAACCCAGGTATCTGCCCTTGACCGGGAATCCCGAGACCCTTCAGAGTGTAGGCTGATGCTCTACCACTAAACCACATCAGCCAGGCACTTTCTTAATCCTTCCTTCACCAGCATGTCAATTTATTTACTCTCTACTAGCTATCATTTTTCTCTTCATGCTATTTCTGTAAACACTTTAGAAAAGCCCTTTGCCTTACAAATTATATTAGAAAAACTTTATTGTTTTTTTACTTTCTCTAGAAACATTTTGCTCTTCACGTACCAGGAAAATTTGGTCTGTAGCATTTGCCTAGTTAATTGTTCAAACCTGAATGGGCTAAATGGCTACAAGGGGACTAGACTAGTTTAAATACCAAAGTGCCAGGAAGTCTGTTGTATGTCAATTATATCTCAATAAAACTGGTGGGGGAAAAAGAATGCACTAAAATTCACAAATAATTGGCCATCACAAAATCTGAACTTAAAAATATGTACTGCCTGGCTGGCTTGGCTCAGCGGTTGAGCGTCAACCTATAAACAATGAGGTCAAGATTTGATTCCCGGTCAGAGCACGTGCTTGGGTTGCGGGCTTCATCACCAGTGGGGGCAGGCAGGAGGCAGCCGATCAATGATTCTCTCTCATCATTGATTCATTGATGTCTCTGTCTCTCTCTCCCTCTCCTTTAAAAAGAAATATGTATACATCTATAATTTATTTATCTATCTATCTGTTTATTTATTTACTTATTTATTCAATAGTAGAGGTCTTTGAGTCTGTTATGGACAGACATAAAGATAAGTGCAATTAAATACAAGAACAACTACAACAACAATAAAAATAAATAAAAGAGCAAAATTTCCATGAGGTGAGGAGGCATTTCTCTTCTGTATATTTATATATATATAGAGAGAGAGAGAGAGGAGAGAGAGAGAGAGAGAGAGAGAGAGAGAGAGAGAGAGAGAGAGAGAGAATTCATTGTCTTCTGTCCCTTCCCTACTGGACAGGGAAAATATCCATGGGCTCTCATTGCTGTTGCCTCAGGAGGGAACAGAGGGGAACTTCTTATGTATTATAAGGTAATTACTAAGGGGTCTGCTGATCCAGAACACCTTGTGTGCCTATTCAGGATAAAACTGATAAAGATGGATATTAAAACTCAATAGATATATGTCAGGATGGTAGCAGTAGGTGGAAATGACTGCATTGTATTGACAGTACTATTTTCAAGGCAAGCTTTCTTTTCATTTGCTTCCAGATTCAAGTTAGGAGCTGTAGAGGAGTGCGCTAAAAGTGTCAGAACTTTTTTGGAAAAGAAGCAAGAGAGAGAAAGGCCTCCCAACGCTGATAAAGAAGCCTATGACATGGCTAACAAACTTCGAAAAATTAAAAAAGCTATCGAAAAACAAAAGATAATGTAAGTATTTAATTAAGCAAAGTGGTGGTTTAAAGGTGGAAATACTTCACAATTCCCATTAGGAAACATACACTGAATGGGTTACAAATAAGTTGTAGTTGTTGCTTGGGCGTGTTTGCAAATTAGGTAAATTTGGGTGAGAGAATAGGGTAAAGATAAGTGGCAGTAATTATGTATTTCCAAGGTGCCTAGATCAGTCTTATTTAGGGCTTGGGAAAGGCAGGACCACAGCCTATGAGAATTGTTAGACCATATACCTGGCATAATCATTTCTCAAAATAAGCACATCTTTGATACCTCACTCTCAGCCAGCCTTAAGCAGTCTTAAACAAAGTCTACCCACATTGCTGTGGGCCACATCATAGAAGTGTCACTGATATACCATCACAATCACATAAGTGACATAGACTGAGCTTGAGAATGGATTAAAATGCCAGTTTTATGCTTGGTAGAATTTTGCTCCTTTGACTCCTCTTTTTCGTTCTTGGTGTCTAATTCTGACAACTCTAGTCCAAAATATTTATTCTCTTCATTATCCTCTCCATCTTTAGTCACTGCCTGGTTTAGATGCCCATCATGTCTTCCTTGCAGAGGTCTGTTTTTGGGCCCCAGAGCCTTAAGGTTCACCGCTCTCCAATCTAGCTAACAAATGATCTTGCTAATATCAACTTGATTAAATTATCTCACACTCAGTAGTCTTCCTTCTTCCTTGCTTAAGACCTGAAAAGTCCAGACAGAGACAGCATAGGAGGTATAAGCCTTTTCAGAAACTGGTATTCTGATTAGACAACTTTTCTTCAGGTCATTAGAAGCCATCATTTCAAGTTAAAGAGTGACCACTAATTGGAACTCTAAAAATCTCAAGAATGTTTTAGTACCTTGTTTAGCCACATCATTATAGTGAGGGTGAGTGGGGGCCTTGCTCTGGGCCCTGTGCTTTGGAGAGTACCCCCGTGGCCCTCCTCCATCTGCATCCATTCCCATCAAGCTGTGAGTCTGTGGAGCTTAGGAGGCCTGCCACCTGGAGCTCACTCTTACCCTTTTAAATTCCAAGATGTTATGGAGCTATATTTGTCAAGGTAGGAGGATGGAATGTATTATTTGATAGTGTATATCCTCGATTTAAAACTTATAAATAGACAACAGTATGTGGGCTTTCATTATTCCTCTGTTCCACCTTCCACACACATTAGGGGCAGGCCTTTCCATAGTCTTGGCATTCTCCCTTGAGTTAAGGGCAATGTTAGCTGGAAGTGAGAACACTTGATGATAGCACACAAGTGAGCTCATCTTCTTGTATTTGGAGTTGACTTATATACACAGTTAACAGACAAATGGAAACATTTAAGAAAGGATAAGTGATCTGGGTATCTCTCAAAGGCTATTACCCTGGAGTAAAGGATAACAGGTCATAGGTCAGATTCCTCAGTGGCACCTTCTGACATGGGTATCTGTGTAAGGGATTTGTTTAAGTAAGTGTTCATGAGGGACGGTAAGACAGTGAGAGAAGCAAAAGATGGAAAGTGAAGAAGGTAAGTAAGGATTCGGGTTTTGCTAGAATATTGCCTAAGCCTGGTCCAACAGAGAGACCTGGGGGCAGGACAGAATTGTCCCAATTTGCGTCAAGGTGGCTGACTTGTGTACCTCCTCTCAGTCAGTTACTAGCTGTGGGCCACTTCCCCATTTCCAAGAGAAGGTGTAACTTCCCAGGAATTTCCAGGAGACTGTTGTCAATTGAGGGCAGTTCTCCAGGGAATGGAAAAGCCAAGAGCCCTTAACAACCAAACTCAGAGCAGCTGTAGCAGCCACCACAGGAGAGGAGGAGAATGGCCTGTAGTTGGCAAGGAGGACATCTACTTTACCCACAAGCCTAGTGTTATGAAGGCTAGGAAAGAGAAAATGATCATCACTTTAGCAGATGAACCACTTTAGCAAGGGGAAGCGAGGTCACGTGGAGGAAGTGGATTTGGCAAGACTCCTTATAACAAGGAAACAGAGAAAATAAGGGTACCTAATAAAAATTTTTTATAAGCTAAACAAATTTCAGAGGCCAGTGAGGAAGTTCATTAGAGGAAGAAGTCTGAGTCAGGATAGTGCAGATGTACACATGTGTGAATAGGTGGGTTACAAGGAAGATTTGGGAAGTCTTGGGCTTCCTTTAGTAGTCACATTTGACTACTAATTACTGACAATTTATTGTTATGAACAGAGATGAAAAAAGCCAGAAGAAGCCCAGGAAAATGGATAAAAGCCTAATACATGAAGCTGAACATAACAGTCTACTCAAGATTCTAGAGAAGAACCTGGAAATCCCTCCAGAGTTCACCTATGCTGACAGAAAGACAGTGGACAGCGAGGTGAGCACTCCCAATGAAACAGTGCTTCAGGGAATGATTTCACATCAGCCCTTAGTTCTCAGTGATAGACAACGTGGAAAGTAAAACTAAGAGAAATCCCTACCAGGTTAGACATCTCTGTCTGTGACCTCTTGGCCACCCATGATTCTTAAGGGTTCTGCCGAAAAAAGGTCTAAGAAGGATTTATAGATTATTTCTTGCTTGTTAATCATTAACCCGTGAGAGTGCCTGCCTTTTCGTTATTTACTTCTGTGTTACTGTTTTTTGCAGCTTGAATTCTGGACTTGAGTCTCACATGCCTCATTGAATACTTGGGCACCTGTGGTCCAGTATACTTTATGCAGTGTACACAGAATCTCTCAAAACCAGAGGCTTTTTATATTATAGTCAAAACATTCCACCAAGAAAAGCATGAGAATATCTACAAGTAGTATGCCATTTCTTTTTTCAAATGTTTTTCTAAGTAAAATAATTCATGCCTAAGGTAGACAAGTTTGAAAATACAAATTAGTAGCAATGCCATCAATCCGAAGTAATCATTACCCTTCTAGACGAACCTTTTCCTTTTGTATATTTTATTTGTGCCCCGCCCCACCACACATGCACATGAATACATACACAAAGTATGGATATATACACAGTATACACACATATATATCCATTCCACTGTATACATTCTTCTGTAAACTACATGGTTTCTTCCTTTTTAAGAACCATGTATTTACATCATCATTTTCAATAAATCCGGTATGGATGGCTGACTACAGCTAAAGTGCCTTAGGGATTCTTTTTCTTTTTTTCCTCATAAGCAGTGTTTATCTTTGTACATATTACTCTGTGCACAAATGGATTCCTCCTCAGGGCATAAATATTTTTAAGATTATTTGTGACCAATTTACAAGGACAAGTAAACATTCCCAGACCATATAGGGTAAGGAACCTGCTCTTTTTGGATCTCTCTCTCTCTCCCGCCCCCTTCCCTGGGAACTCCTACAGTTCCACTAGAGAGCTGACCTCCCTCAGGCAGGACACATCCTCTGGGTCTTTTATCTACTGCTTTGTCAGTACTTCCCACCTCTGAAGTGGTAGGGAAGTGGGGTGGTGGTGAAATAGTGCAAGATTTTCTGCTCAAAGATTTGGAAGTGTTTCCTATAGTTAATGTGGCTGCAGTAAAATGTTCTTTGTACTCATGTTCAGTCAATTTCAAACAGTTGCCTCATGTAGCCAAATTCTGGCATACTGTGCCTGCTGTTTTCACTTAAACACTTTTTATTGATTTAAAATTAAAAGTAGATAAAAATTATCAAAATCCTTAAAACTCTTGCTTCTTTCAGCTTTTGCAGATGGTGTTTGATCGAGTAAAATCCTTAAGAAAAGGTGCAGAACTGAAGGCTTTAGCAGAAAGGGGTATCGGATATCATCATAGATGTTTGTTTGCCAAAGAAAAACAGTTAGTTGAAATTCTTTTTAGGAAAGGATTTATTAGGGTAAGTAAATATTTTCATTCTAACATTTGAAGCTGTGCCTACATCAAACTGAATAACCATATTTCCCATCTCATTTAATTGAGAGAGAGGGTTTGAAATGTATCATTCAGTTTATTATCTCTTATAAAATTAAAACAGTCCCTAAAAAGACACTTCCAAATATTACCTATGCTGATCTTAGAACAACACTTTGCCTTTTCTTTCATAGTATCTAGGGAATTTTGTCAGCTGTTTGTATAATTTTAGCTATAGACATTCTCTCATGGGCTTGGACAACATTTTTGATGGCACTTTAATCAGATCTTTTCCCAAAATAGCTAAAAGAAGAGCAAGAATGTATCGCTTCCTCACGGCCCACCCCATATCTTGGCAGAGTTTTCAGATGGGTCACTCCTAAATGCTCTCTTATCACTGACAGTGGACAAGAGGAGGATTTCCTGAAATAGCTCGTAACCAAACCATTGTTATGTTTTATTTATGTCCCATGAAACGCATGGGGATAGTCTGGATAAATTCACAAAGAGGGTTTAGAAAATTACCTAGTAATTTAAGTCTTTAATACTATTTTAAAATAGACCCTTTTCAAGTTATCCATATTAAATTTTTTGTAGGATGTGCATTGTGTGTGTGTGTGTGTATGTCTGTGTGTGTGTGTGTTGAGGAAGAGGGGTATTAGAGAAAGAAAGATTGAGTTTGAGATTGATTTTCCTACTCTGGGTATCTTTTAATTTTAATAAATAAATGTGAGGAAAATCTGACACCATAATTAAAGGGTATATCTGTAGTCTGGAAAAAAAGCTCAGAATAGATCATTAACAACTTTGCTTAGCTTTTCTCTTAAATAATACAAGTTATTTATTTTAAAAGTCAGTAATGGGACACACTCTTCTTCATCGTTATGAATTGAGGGGGAGAGGCACACCTATTTGAATCAGCATATCCTGTGTCTAAAATAGTACCTGTTAAATAGTAGTTGATAGATCATGATAGAAAAGTGACATGGCAATAGTGATAGCTTTATTACAAAGAACACATTTTTAAAAGGCATTTATTCTAGTATATTCTAAATGTAATGTTCCTACCTTTTTCATTTTCATTATTATTAAATACTTTGTTGCACTCTGTATAAATCTCTATTACAGAATAGAGAAAATTACCTCATATACAGAACAATTAACATTAACCATGGCACATATATGATAATCAATATAAAGAGAAAGAGAGGGCAATTAGAAATATCCAGCAAAATATGAAAAAAATAAGCCAAAGTGGATCATGTAGTAAACTTTAAAGTTTTCCCTACTCCTTTTCTGGTTAGTTGTCTTGGCAATTCAGGGAAGAAATGGAACTTTATTTTGCTCTTATTACTTAGACTAGAGGCCCAGTGAACCATGGGGGGAGTAGGATGAAGTGGGGGAGAGAGACCCTCAGCCCAGCCTGCACCCTCTCCAATCTGGGACCCCTTGGGGGATGTCCAGCTGCTGGTTTAGGCCCCGGCGGGTTCGGGCCTAAACCAGCAGTCGGACATCCCTCTCACCATCAGGGACCGCTGGCTCCTAACCGCTCACCTGCCTGCCTGCCTGATCGCCCCAAACCACCTCTGCCTGCCTGCCTGATTGCCGCCTAACTGCCCTCCCCTGCCGGCCTAATTGCCCCCAAATTCCCTCCCCTGCTGTCCTGATTCCCCCCAACAGCTTTCCCTCACGCCAACCTGACCTTACCCCTAACTGCTTGCTCCCCTGTGCTGGCCTGATCTCAACCCTAACTACTCTCCCCTGTGCCGGCCTGATCTCACCCCTAACTGCTTACTTCCCCGCACCAGCCTGATTGTCCCTAACTGCTTGCTCTCCTGCCGGCCTAATCACCCCTAACCGCCTCTGCCTCAGCCCCTGCCAATGTGACTTTGTCCAGAAGGAAGTTGGACGTCCAGAAGATGTCCAGTCGATCTGGTCTAATTATCTTATTACCCTTTTATTATATAGATATGATAACACATAGAAATAACCTTCACAAATAAATTGTAGTGATGAAGTAAGCAATTGCCCAGGGTTTGTACAAACATTATTACGTTCTCACAGGGAAATGCCCTTTCTATTCTAATCATTTGTCAAAAAATATTTACTGAACACTTCTCATGCGCCAGGTCCTCAGTGTGGGGAAACAATGCTGAATGGGGCTTGGGGTCTGGCGCAGGCAAAGTAAACAAATAATATTACTCGAAGTAATGATTAATGCTATGAAGAGAAACACTGTAGGACAGGGAGAGAAATAATGATGACAGGGGTGGTTATTTTGAATATGGTAGGCCATACATTTCTTTTTGCTATTTGAGCAGAGAACGGAATAACCAGATAAAAGACTATTTGGAAAAGAATATTATGTGCCCAGCAAAGAGTGACTGGTATGATGGCCCGGAACTGGGAATGTGCGTGATGTGTTTGTGGAAGAGCAAGAGTACCACTATGGTTTAATTGAAGTTCAAAATTCAGTAACTATATGGCATTTTATAGAAATCTTATTTTATAAAGTAATTGCTTTATTCTCTTTCTAGGTAGTGACAGCGACCGGGACACTTGCTTTAGGAATCAATATGCCTTGTAAATCTGTGGTTTTTGCTCAAAACTCAATCTATCTGGATGCTTTAAATTACAGACAGGTATTGTGATCTGCATTAATTCTCTCTTGCATTACTAAAATATGGCCATAAAATAAAGAAAATATGAGCCTTTAGTTTACCAACATGCTGCAATTTATGGGCTAGCACACCTGATGTTTAGTCATGCTTGCCTGTCATTTTTAGCTGTGGTATGATGTAAAGCTCATGAGTTGGAGGCTATGTGACCATCACTATCCAGATATGTGACCTCAGGTGAGATATGCAAACTGCCGGATCCTTCTTATCTCCAGAATAGGAATAATAATTACAGTTCCATAGATTTGCAAGAATTTAAATGAAGTGATTTATAGGGAAGATACACACTGAAAGTGTCTGTGAGCATTCCCTTGTTCATTCCCTGTGCACATGACATTGTTCTGTGGATCTGTCTTAAATGCTTTCCTTTTTGCTGCTGATACATGATCTATTGGCAAACCCCTTTCATTAGTCTCAGATAGCGGTATTGAATTTTTGCTGGGCAGTTTATTTTCCACTACCTTTCATCAGACATTCTTGGCTCTGTAATATTAAAACAATTTTCCTGAATTTCACATCTCTTTACTCAAATATGTCCTGTTTGTGGCATAGTTTGTTTTCATGTGGTTTCCTGGCTCAGGAACATTTGATGAATATGTATTTTTTTAATTTCTTTTTTTTATTTTATTGATTTTTTTACAGAGAGGAAGGGAGAGGGATAGAGAGTTAGAAATATCGATGAGAGAGAAACATCAATCAGCTGCCTCCTGCACACTCCCTACTTGGTATGTGCCCACAATCAAGGTATATGCCCTTGATCGGAATCAAACCTGGGACCCTTCAGTCCACAGGCCAATGCTCTATCCACTGAGCCAAACCGGCTAGGGCGTTTTGATGACTATTTTTGCTGGAGGCATCAAATTTAGGTATATCAGCCAACATTCAAGATTTTATCAAAGTGCCCTCCCTCCCTTTCTCTCTAAACACTTCTTTTAAAAAAATATATTGATTGATTTATTGATTGGTTGATTTCAGAGAGTAAAGGAGGAGAGAGAGAGATAGAAGCATCAATGATGAGAGAGAATCATTGATCTGTTGCCTCCTGCACACCCCCCACTGGGAATCAAACCTGCAACCCAGGCATATGCTCTGGGAATTGAACCTTCTGGCTTATATGTTGACACTCAACCAATGAGCTGCACTGGCTGTGCTCTAAATAGTTCTTATCCCTTATAGAACCTGTCCACCCCCTCCTACCATAACAACCCCTATTCTTTTTATTTCTCCCCCTGCTTCTAAGCTGTGCATGAAGTCCCCTCCCATATCAGCTTTGGGAACCTCATATTTAGGACTCCTGAGCCAAGATGTTATGATATTTCAGATAATGAATTTGGAAGTTAAAATGTCATGGTTTGAATCCTGGATCATTTAAAGGATGTCCTGGGTATTTGACAATGGGCAAGTTTCTGATATTCCCATGTCCCGGTTTCTGCATTGTAATATGGGAATAATGATTCAATTTACCTCATATAGTTGTGTGGTTTCAAGGACTTAGCACACATTCTAAGCACTTAAAACCCAGAATTCATATAACTCCTGTGAAGAGTTTGTTCTTAACTTGCCTTTTATAAGTAGTGTTTCAGAATTTTACCTCACTCGTGTATTTCCTCAACTTGTGCACAATTTTTATGGTGGTTTGTAACTCAGTACACTTGTCTGCGAGAGAGAGAGTGAGAGAGAAAAGGATGAGGGAGGAGGAGATGGGAAGGGAGAGAACTGGTATAAGTTAAGCTGTAAATAAACTTGAAATGAGGGTCTGGTATTTCTTCTTGTTTTGTTTTGTTTGTTTTTTGCTTGTTTCTTCTATAGATTATACAAATATCTAGCACAGTTTTTGGCATGAAATTAAGTGCATAATAATGACAAATGTCTGATTTTCAGCTCTGTCCCAGCCTTGTTAAATTTCCTAAGGGCTACATAATTGGATTTTATGTGAAGTAATTTAATGGTGGCACGTAGGCACAATTTCCTTGTTCCAACCCAATGTAAAGGCTGGCTTCTAAATGTGATGTTAAGATCATGTAGGTAAATCTTACACTGTTATTCTCCCTGTTTCCAGATGTCTGGACGTGCTGGAAGACGTGGTCAGGACCTGCTGGGAGATGTATATTTCTTTGATATTCCATTCCCCAAAATACAAAAACTCATAAAATCCAATGTTCCTGAGCTGAGAGGGCAGTTTCCCTTCAGCATAACCCTGGTGCTGCGACTAATGGTCTTGGCTTCGAGGGGAGATGACCCAGAGGACGCCCAGGCAAAGGTACTGTAGCAATAACTTGCAGTTCCATCAGCCTTCAATGCTTTGTTCTATCATGAATAATAAAGAATTGGGAGTGGAGGGTCTATGAGTTTTGTTTGTCTCCTGTATCAATAGTAGAATTTGTAGCTGGATGGGCATTTGGCATCTCCCGAGATTATGGTTTCCATGTGTGATAGTCATTGTTCTATAGTAGTTAAAGGTGCTGGCTATGGGTTTAAAAAGATCTGGGTTAAATTCCTGTTTTCACTATTAGGAACAAAAATATTTTTTTTAGGATTATTTTATAGTAAAAGTCTATTTTTCATAAAAAAGTAGCCCAAATTCATCAAATAATATTTGGATAATGTAGAAAGTTGATAGAAGAAAACTATACCCATACCTAGTTCCTTTGTTCAAAGACAATTACATTATCATTTTGGTCATCTTAAAGTCATTTTTCTAGGCATAGGTGTGCATTTTTTGGGTGGTTTTTTTTTAAGGTATTTGGTTTTTAACACTATTTTATATTTATATTAAATTGAACTTCAGAACAAGGTTACAAATTTTCCTGAAGGTTTTATTTTTCAGATAAATATTTTTCTTTCTAATCCCAGAATGAGAGATTTAAAATTCATAATGAAATAATCTTATTTTCATCTTTGTGAATATGCATTGTGAAAGGAACCTGTTGGGTCTAAGTTCCTCTGCCAAGGGCTGTACCTCTTTAGATGTTGGGTCTTAGAAGACGGAGAAGACATGAGAAGTTATAGGCATATAAGAGCGTCTTTATTGCAGCCCAAGTAGCCATTGCTGCTAAGGAGCCATTTAACAAAGCACTTCTTGCCCTAGCTGGTTTGGTTCAGTGGATAGAGCATCAGCTTGTGGACTGAAGGGCACATTCTTGGGTTGTGGGCTCGATCCCTAGTAGGGGCATGTAGGAGGCAACTGATCAATGATTTTCTCATCATTGATGTTTCTAGATCTCTCTCCCTCCCCCTTCCTCTCTGAAATCAATAAAAATATATTTAATTTTTTTTTAAAAGCAGTTCTTGCTAACACAATAGCAAACACAAAGCAATCCTTGCTAATACAGTAGCAAGCATAGGAACCATCCTAGCAAAACAACCTCACCTTGGCTAGTCAGTAATACATCTTCTTTACAATGAAGCCCCCAACATAAGAGTTATATAGGAGCCAACCACAGGCTGGTCAGTGGCAACTTGTATACAAGCTCAAATGAGCTCAAACAAAAGAAGATTTATGCCTAATAGTGACTTCAGTATTTGGGCTATAGAAAGTCAGGCCTGTGCAGTGTATAGCTTGCTGCATCCCTGCTTTTGTAGCTGCGTATAGAAAATTAGCCTTGAACACACTGATTAGGATTCCCACACTCAGAGTGGCCTTGAACATCTGGCATACACTGACTGATTAGGGTTCCCACAGGACCCTGTCTGCTCTGTATATTGTACAATATTGTAGGACATGGAATAATATGGTACTTATTTTCTTCTAGAACAATCCAAGAGCTATAAGCTTTTAAACTCAATTTGCATTTATTACCAGATAATTTGGCAGTATCATTCATTTCTGATTATTCTATTTTATATGTTCTGTCTGTTAAAGGACAGATCTGCCATCTAAGAACATGGTAAAACAAGTAATATGAAATCTAATTGAATCCTATATAGTGCTGATATATGTGCTATAATAGATATGGGTAATGTCTATCACATTTTATATTCTTTTATGTGGTGGTCGATCAGGTGAGGCTATTGCCAGAGGAAATGGGCTCTTGAGATGTCAGGGAAAAGAATTTCAGCGACACAGGTGTGAAAGTTCAAGCACAGTGGCAAGACTTATTGGGGTGAAAAGAAATAATACGCCCTGGGGGATGCAGAGGGCAGGCAGGCTCTAGTAGCAGCTGCCCCAAGGTCCTTGCTGATCTTCTATATATTTCCTGGGTTTTGGAAACAAGCAGGCTGTCTTTCAATCTATCCAACCTGTTTCCTGGAGCTGTGCTGGGCTAGACCCCTCCCCTTTATTATCTCCAGTGTGGCTCCTACTGCGCATGCCTCAAAGTTCTGCTTCATCATCTGGCTTCTACTGTACAGGAGTCCAGCCAAGGACTTTCCCCTCTACTGCTTATCCCTCCCCCTCTGTAATCCATTGTTCCCTGGGGAGATTGGACAGACAGTCTTTCTGCCTGCTTGGGACTTTGGCCAACGTTGCACCTGTCCCCGGGGTGTATGTGAAGCTGTAGCTTCCCAGTTAATCAGGCTTAGCCAGTTTTGTTCCCTTTTCCTTTAATACCTGCCTCGCTACCTTCGCCAACAAGGCCACAACAGGAGGCAAAGGAGAGGCTCAGAGAATGTATTATTCTTATAGGTCCTAGCGATAGGAGGTGTAGCATGGCATCCCGGACTACATGCAGAACACACCAGGGTGGTCAGGAGGCAGAAGACAGGAGCAGGGGGCAGGCTGAGGCCACTCCCTTTATGTGAGTTTCCACAGGAAAGGCATGACAAGTCAGAGTGAACAGTTTAGGATTTACTAATTTGAATAATTCCGAAGGCTTTGGGCTATGTGAGTGACCTCTAACTGCCTGGTCTCTGGCTCTGGCTCTGGGGTGATTTAGGGCAGGAGGAATATTGGCTTGGTGTGTGAGTTAGGCAAGGGAGTTGGTGGGATATAAACTTGAGTGTGTTGGTTTGCATAGGATAGGCATCCTTTTAGG